CTTACATACACACTTCTACACACACATTCTCACATACACACACTCTCATATACATACACTCACATTCTTTCACAAACACACATTCTCACATATACACACATTCTCACATACACATTCTCTCACATACACATACACATTCACACACACATTCTCTTTCTCTTACACACTCATACACACACATTCTCACATACACACACTCATATACATACACACACTCACATTCTCTTTCTCTTACACACTCATACACACACATTCTCACATACACACACTCATATACATACACACACTCACATTCTCTTTCACATACACATTCTCACACACATTCTCACATACACACACATTCTCACATACACACACTCATATACATACACACACTCACATTCTCTTTCTCTTACACACTCATGCACACACATTCTCACATACACACACTCATATACATACACACACTCACATTCTCTTTCACATACACATTCTCACACACATTCTCACATACACACACATTCACACACACACTCACATTCTCTTTCACATACACTCACACACACATTCTCACACACTCTCATGCCCTCTTCCCTCCTCACTCCACATAATGAGAGCGATTTAGTATCATTTCCTCACTTGACTGTCCCCTTGGCATGCCCCCCACTCTCTGCCATCTCTACTGCCCTCTCCACCACCATCAGCCTCCTCCCTGCAACCAAGAGACCCAGCTAAGTGTTGTCTCTGAAGGAAATTCCGATGACTACGATTGTCTCAATCTCATTTCAAATTTGAAAAAGCCTGGCGTTACCAAGGGCTAAACCGCTCAGGAATTTTTAAGCGCCAACACAAGCCTTCGAAGACATTTCCTGCTAATGAGATTAAGTGAGATAATGTACGCGGCACTGGGCGCACTTCCTGCACGCCTGAGATTGTGCTCTGAGGCTGTTGCTTCAAACCGAGCCTCAGACGGCCAGAGGGTCACCTTTGCTCTGGAGGGAAAGTCTCAAAGCCTTGCCGTGCGGTGCGACGCTGGCAGCAATGGAGGGGGGCCAGGAAGGAGGCCTGCAGAAACCTTGAAACAGGAGTGTGTAAGGGGCGTGTGTGCGTGCCTGTGTGTGATCCGGAGGTGACAGAAACCACACATTGCCTGGCTCGTCCCTCCGTTGGGGTCTCACTCAGCTGCTCTCTCTGGCTGCTACCACCAAGCTGGCCTCAGGAGGTCACTGTGACCCTCACAGTCCCTTCTGCTCTAAGGCAACCTTTTTCCCTTAGTTGCCTGCAATAGAATGGAGGTTGGCTGTCATTTCCAAGAGAATTTTACAGGAAGAACATGATGGAAACCTAATTATACATATACTCGCCTTTGCACTATAGTTATTTCTTAAAGCTCAGTTTCCGGTTCCCAGAGATCCTGTGGAAGCAGCAAAGACATTGGCAGGCATCTGATTCTCTACCGTAAGAGAACCACAAAGACACAAATGTCCACCTGGGCATTCATCTGAGTGCGCTCTGCTGACTGAGGGTCAACTGCATTGAGCAGAGAGGGGAAGGGAACGCCCATCTCCTGAGCAGCTGGCCTTGTGCTGGACCACAATAGGAACTTGATATTCCCATCCGTGAGCCCCCTCATGCCCCAAGACACCCTCATGCCATATGGTCCGGCAAAGTCTAGCTGCTTGCCTAAGGTCACCGAGTTGGAAGTAATGGCCCCATGAATGGAATGTACTCTCAATAAATGCAAGGATTTACGTGAGCTCAAGCTCAATCTAGGCAAGAAGCATGGGGCTTCGGGGGTGGCCCCGAGCCCAGCTCTGCAGCAGCTCAGCTAAGCCATGCTTCCTTCTCAGCTGGTGCAGGAATTTTGGGTGCTAGGGGCCCAGCGAGCCTCAGCCGGCTGCTCCTTTCTCTTCCTCCTCCACCGGCCACTGAGTCCTCCTGCCCCCACCCAGCCCCAGCCAGGCTCTGTAGTTGGGCAGCACTCCTTTCTGGTTCTTAGTTACCATGGACCTTACCCTCTGGCAGGACCCCTGCTGTCCTCTCCTGCAGGGTGGACTGGCCCAGCTCCTAATACAATGAACCCTGGGCTATAACCCCAGCCCTGCCATGTACAAGTTGTGTGACCCCAGCTCTGTGAATTCACCTCTCTGTGCCTGTTTACTCCCTAAGATGCAATTAACAGTAGTACTCTACCCTGAGAGCTGTTGTGGGGCTTTCCTCACCTCCCTTCTCCCACCTTTGATTTTTGTATTTTGTATTTTATTTATTTATTTATTTGGGACAGTGTCTCACTCTGTCGCCCAGGCTGGAGTGCAATGGTGCCATCTTGGCTCACTGCAACTTCTGCCTCCCGGGTTCAAGCGATTCTCCTGCCTCAGCCTCCTGAGTAGCTGGGACTACTCAGGCAAGCGCCATCAGGCCCAGCTAATTCTTGTATTTTTAGTAGAGTCAGAGTTTCACCATGTTAGCCAGGATGGTCTCAATCTTCTGACCTTGTGATCCACCTGCCCAAAGTGCTCTGATTACAGGTGTGAGCCACCGCACCTGGCCCTCTCCTGTCTTTTTTTTAAAAAAAACACTTGATAGCATTTACTTTGTGCTGGACACCACATTAAGCACTTTATCCCTAATTTCATCCTCACGACAACCCTATAAGGGAGGCACTGTTGCTGTCTCATTTTACAGAGTAGAACTCCGATGCACAGAGAGATGAAATAACTTCCCCAAGGTCACACAGCTAGTAAGAGGCAGAGGCAGGATTCAAACCCAGGCAGGCTGGCTCCAGAGTTCAGGCACTTGACTTCCTACTCTATAATGAAATGATGGGTGTGAAGCCTTTTAGCATAAAACTCAAGCCTTTTAGTATGAAAATGTTTGGTCAATGATAGCTATAGTTGCCCTGTGACCTCGACAGGTCATTGTACTTCTGTCTCCATTTCTTCATCCCTAAAATGGGACTAGTGGTAGCTTTCTGCTGGGCTTGGGGTGAGAATTCATTAGAACCATGGGGTGAAGTGTCTGTCACAGATGTTAACACAGAGCAGGGCATGGGCTCTTGGTGGCGCTCCTTCCCAGAAGGGACCTATGGAATGGGGTCGGGACTGGTGGTGGCTAGACAAGTCCGCTGAGTCAGCAAGAGCAGGATGTAGGAACACCACCGGCCTTGAGGGGCCTGAGCAGAGCGACAGATGTATGGGCAGCTGGAGGGGCAGAGCATGGGCACAGGGCCTCTGACGTGGGAGGTGGCATCGGCGTTCCAGATGCAGGATTGGCAAGAAAGGGGCAAACAGTTAGGGAGCCATCCAATCCTCACAGTGACCCTGAAAAAACAAGCTTCTCAGAGAGGGGACGTGACTTGCTCAGGGCCACGTCTCTAGAAAGGGGTGGCAATGAGTTTTGCCTCCAAGACACCTCTGTGGTTTCTCTCTCCCCATACTGCCTGTCAGCAGGATGAAGGGCCCAGTTATGAGGCCAAGCTCTAGGTTAGAAGTAACTGTTTCTTAAGAAAGTCCAGGCCGGGCACGTGCCACACGCCTGTAATCCCAGAACTTTTGGAGGCTGAGGCAGGCAGATCACTTGATGTCAGGAGTTTGAGACCAGCCTGGCCAACATGGTGAAACCCCGTCTCTATTAAAAATACAAAATTAGCCTCCTGTGGTGGTGGATGCCTGTAATCCCAGGAGAATCACTTGAACCTGAGAGGCAGAGATTGCAGGGAGCCGAGATTGCACCACTGCACTCCAGCCTGGGTGACAAGAGCGAAACTCTGTCTCAAAAAAGAAAAAACAAACAAAAAAATTAGCCAGACACTGTGGCACATGCCTGTAGTCCTAGTTACTTGGGAGGCTGAGGCAGGAGAATCCCTTGAACCCGGGAGGCAGAGTTTGCAATGAGCCGAGATTGCGACACTGCACTCCAACCTGGACAATAGAGCGAGACACTGCGTTGAAAAAAAAAAAGGCCAGCGAAACAAAGGCAACAGTCCCTCCTGCAGAAGTGTCCCAAGTAGGCAGGTGGTACGATGGGGCCTGGGGCAGGGGAATGCGGAAGGGCTTGGCTGAGGACTGCAGCAGGCAGGCAGGGGTGAACTGGAGGCAAGGGTGGCTGGAGGCTGCCTGAAGTCTGGCTCAGCCCAGGGGAAAGGGATGAGCAGGGCCTCACCAGGACATGGAGGGAGGATCCCCTGTGATCCAGAGAAGGCCATAGGGTACTTACCCCCACCTGTGCCAATCCCCCTGAAAGATTTTCCCCACGCACAGTAAAAGGAAAGGCTCTCAAAGCAACCCGGGGGACCACAGCAGGGGTGATGGGAACCCTTTCTAGGGCGGTTGTCTGCTGTCTTCATAGGCAGGAAGCCACTTCCTGTGGCCCCAACGGTGCCCTGTGAAAAGCCAGGCCCTGGCCCAGCAGCCAAGAGGGCCAGGATGGGTTCCCCCAGACCCATTGTCCTAAGAGCAGATTTGTGTTTTTCAGAGCAACTCTTCACAGCTTCTCCTCTTTCCTAGGTGACAGTGACAGCCAGCGATGGGCAGGCAGCTTACTCCCAGCCTGGCCTGAGTCTGTGGCCCCAGCGTGAGATTACTGCAGTGAGTTCTGACCTCAGCATTGCCATGGGGATGCTCGGATGCCAGGTTGCCAGCAGCAGTACCTTTTCACCCGGGGGAGTGGGAGGGAACCGTGGCTGATGCTGACTGCCTATGATGTGGCCTGCTCTTGCCTGCTGGGGCTGTTTGTCCCCAGACATATGTTCCAGATCTCAGCTAAGTGGGGTGGGCCAGGGGACTCACTCAGGACCTGCGGGCTCTATTGTGTGTCTGTGTGTTTGGGGTGTGGCGAGAGGTGTTTATTAGACCTCATGGGGAGCCTCATTTTCATGCCTCCCTGGGCTGACCTGGGCTGCTGATCACGTGCTCCTAATGGGCCTCAGATTGACATTTGCAGCAACCTGGTCTCCATAGCAACCAGCTGTGACATCACAAAGAACCCACAGAGTGGAGGAAGCTTAAATGCCTGTTTGGGGGAGACAGAGCCTTTGGTCCCTCTCCTTAGGCCCCTCCTGTGATAGTCGAAGAGGCCTAGGAACGCTGAGAGAGCCATGGCCTCCGCTTCTCTGGAGGTTTGAGTGGGGTCTACTGGAAATCCTTCCCTTCCTCTCTGTGTCCCCTTTCTCCTCATCCCTCAAAAAATATGTATCTCAGTTTCCTCAACTGTAAAAAGGGGATATTAGAAGCCGCTCTTAATTGAGTGTTTATGATGTGCCAGGCACTATGACAAACATCTTGCGGATTTTCTCGTTTCCTTCATGACAACCCTATAAAGTACTTTCCTCTTAGTATTCCCCCTTCTGTAAGCGAAGGAAAGGAAGCACAGCAGAAGGGCTGGAATCAAGACAGCCTGGCTCCAGAGCCTGTTTTCATAACTATGAGAGAATGCACCAGATTCCTTCTGAACGCCGCCTGCCACGTGTGCGGCTACAACTCTATTTCCAGCCACGCTGTGGCAAGCGGTTCCGGGCGGGCTTCAGCTCCCTGTGCACCACCAGCACCTCGCCTCCTGTCAGCAGGCGGTGGTTTTCATTTTCTGCCCATGGGCTTCCGCAGCGCCCCAACAGGAGGCTAGCAGGAGCGGGCACAGCGGGAGGATTTATGGAGGGAAGTTGCTTCCACGGAGCCAGCCTCAACCCGGGGTGCACAGGCACCACCAGGTGAATGCTTCTGCCAGGCCGTCATCTGGCCCATACAGTCCCTCTATGCTTGGAATGTCCTGGCAGCGCTGAGCCCCAGTCACCCATGGCAGTGACCTAATAATGCACCGTTATATTGTCTCTTCTGCTTTTTCTTTCTTTCCTTTTTTTTTTTTTTTAAGGAGTATTACTGTCAACCAGGCTGGAGTACAGTGGCATGATCTCGGCTCACTGCACCCTCTGCCTCCTGGGTTTAAACGATTCTCCTGCCTCAGCCTTCCCAGTAGCTGAGACTACAGGCGCGCTACCATGCCTGGCGAATTTTTTTATTTTTGGTAGAGACAGGGTTTCACCATGTTAGCCAGAATAGTCTCAATCTCCTGACTACATGATCCGCCTGCCTCGGCCTCTCAAAGTGCTGGGATTACAGGCGTGAACCACCGTGCCCAGCCTGCTTTCTTTTTTCCCACTCCTGTTCATCCCTCATGTCTGGTCCCTAGAATTACTTCCAAAATAAACTCCCTGTACACAAGTCTTTGCTTCAGGTTCTGCTTTGGGGGGATCTTTAGTGAAGACCCCACTACAGGGCGGCATCTGGAGCTGGGTCACTTGGTGAGAGGCAGTGAGGACCCTGTTGTCTTGGGGTGTGTGATGGTGGCCACCCCTGATACTATGGTGATTAAGATGGTCCCTGTGGCAGGCTGGGAAGAGGTACAGGTGATGGTGGGGGGTTAGATGAAAGGACTAGCACCGCAACAATCCAAGGGCGGTGGACCAGATAGGGATGATGAGGCTGGCTGGCGGCTGTTAGCTGCTCTGGAAGCCTTAAAGGAAGAAAACAGCAGGCTTGGGTTGATCAACTGTCATTCAGTGAAGAGCAAAATCCCCATGGTGCTGTTTTAAGAGACTCTCTCCTTCTGCAGCCAAAGGGTACCCTGTATTGAAAATCAGGCTTGGCATGGAATTGGGGCCAGGAGGGTCACAGGTCTGTGAAGGAGGAGGAGGGCAGAGCTTGGCCAGATATCAGCCAAAGTCAAGAACCCTCCTGGGCAGATAGTGGGATGCTGAGACCTCAGTGAGGGATAATTGGGTGGATGAGTCAGAGACTCTTGGGGACTCAGACTCTTCTGGAATCTTGAGCACTGAACCCCCACAACTCAGCAAAGCACTCCTTGACTAGTGGGGCCAAGCCAAGGCTGGGCTTTCTCTAGGGCAAGTTACCATGTCCTCCCATCCCCACCCCATCTCCTGCTTGGCTCAGACCCCCCCTGAGAAACCCCCTGTCATTCACAGATATTGTCCAAGCAGAATATGAGATCCCACAGTGTTAACTCACGTCCAGTGAGACTGTGATTAATTCAGTCTTGAGCAGACACACAACCTGGACAATTAGAGAGCAGATCTGGGCTTGGGTTCAGCTACACCTGGGGACTCCTCCCATTCAGGTCCAGGCAGGATGCCACCCTGTCAATTGCATGGCTTGTTAGGATGCTTGAGGAAGCGCATGGATCCAAAATGCAGTAGCAGTGACTGAACAGGTATTTACTGTACACCAGGCACTGCTAGACACGAGACACCAGCTGTAAAACAGCTCTTGTCTCTTTTCAAAGCACCCATGAGTGGTGGGGAAGATAAAAGCATCTACACAGACCATGGTACTCGTAGTAAAGCTGCTTTTGAGATGTGACAGAGTGCCTGGCTTTGTGCTGAACTTACCAATACACAGCATCATGAGATCCTTAAAAACATCCTACAAGAGAGAGATTCTCACCCCCGTTTTACAAACGGGAATGGGCGATAGGGCTGGGATTTGACCCAGTCTTATCTTGCTCTTCCCTCTACATAGCCTGCTTATCTTGAGAGAGCATGACAGCCTCAGCAGAATGGTGTCCAAGACGCAGGGGAGAGAAAGATTGATTTGGCCCGGTGGGACGGTCCAGCAAAGCTTCCCAGAGCAGGTGATAAGGCAATTTGTGCATTTCAGAAGCTGAGTAACTGTGAACCGTGGTTGTGTTATGATTAAGCACCTATAGTGAGGGCTCCATCAAGTTTTTAGAACTGGTTCCAATCAAAGCAAACACAAGCTCCAGCCACTGCATAAGACTTAGTTAGAGGTGGCTCCCAGGTTACACAGCCCACGTCTGCCCCCAGAACCCTGAGAGACCAACGCTCCTGTGCTCAGCTCTTTCCCTCTCCCAGCCTTTCTGACAAATGGGCCCTGTAGGGTTGAGGGAGGGCGGTTCTCATCAGGGTATTTTTTGGCCTGGAGGGAGGTAGGGCTATACCGATTGGGCTCTGGAATTTTGAGTCAGAAGAATTCGCTCAAACTGGGTTCAGCAGAAAAGGAGGACTTATTTATGAGGTCTCAGGGGTGTCTTCAGCAGGAAGGGCCAAGTCTGGGGAGACTAAAGCTGGAACTGGGAGGTCGTCCCACCCTCGTCTCAGTTCGTCTCTGCCACGTGGCTTCAGTCATCTCTCCCTTTGCCAAGCAGAGCCTTCCATTCCACAGAAGCCATGGCTGCCCTGAGCAACTTGTCAACTCCTCCTCTGGCCCTAGCGCAGTCACGTGAGAGACCAGCTGGCTGTGCGCTTCCCTCTCTTTCCCTTCCCAAACCCAAATGTTCAGGAGAGAGACCTGATTGGCCCAGACTGGGTCACGTGTTCAGCCCAAGTTCAATCACCCAAGGCAAGGATGGGGCCCTGCAGTGCAATCCGGAATCCTCCCTTGTGGCTGGGGAGGGGAAAGTCGCTATAGATAGAGGGGTCTTTGGCTCAGGGGGAGTAGACCTTTCCCAAGTTTCCTGTGACCAGGGTTTCACCTCTGCATCCACCTCTTACATTCTTCTCCCCACTCTGGCCAAAGGCATACAAAGAACACTATTTTAAAAAGGTTCAACTGACCCTAGGTCTTGAGAAATTCTGTAAGGCTTTAGCTAAAGCATTGCCCTGCCAATGGAATTAATCATATGATTTTCATCCATAGAATTATCATTATTGCCGTCTATCATGTACTGTGATCTTCCTATAGACCCGGTACCAGGCAAAGCCCTGTACACATATTACTTCATTTAATCCTCCTGACAACCTAAGCAGGGTGCTCAGATCCGGCTGGGATGCTGCAGGGACACAGAGCTGTGGGGACACAATAGGTGCCTGACCTGGGAGGTTCTGCACCGTTCTTGAGGCCTCTCCCAAAGCAAGGGTTGGAGCACAAAGGAGGGAGCTCAGAGAGGGCATAATTAATGACGGAGGGTTTCCTGCAAGGTTGTCAAGCTTCAGCCTCAAAGAACAAGTGAGACTTGGGAGGTAAAGAAGGGAGCATTTGAGAGAAAGAGAGAGACTGAGATCTGTCTTTGGGAAGGCCCATAGGAAAATGGCTGGGTGATGGCCCAGGCTGGCTGCAGTGTGAGAGCCATGGCGAACCGTCAGGTGGGTGAGAGGGCAGGCACCAGGTTCCAGTGCACCTCACTTCCTGCCACACCCCCAGAACCCAGCACCTCACTTCCTGCCACACCCAGAGCAATATGGCTGCCCCCAGCATCCGTTGAATTGAACTGATTTGGAATAGCAGGTAAAGGTGACCAGAGTGGGAGGAAAGTGCTTTATGCTGCGATTTAAGACGACCAAGTCCTCCCAGAGGCCTTGCATATGTGTCTGTACATGCGGTTGTTCTCTGGGTAGCCCTTTACAAGCCAATAATGTTGACAAGGGTCAATCTTCCTCATTTCCAGATGAAGAAACCAAGTTGCCCAAGATCACACAGCAAGAGGAGGCTCCGGCTCAAGCGCTTACTGCAAGTGCAGGTATCCCACGAGGAGGGGGTTTGCTTCACACCTGGAGACAGGTTTCCAGGGTCCAAAATAAACCGTACAATGTCAAGACACTATTTACAGATAGAAGAAAATGCTTTGGAGCCACAGGGACCTGGGTTTTGAATTCTGCCTTTGTCATTTCCTAGGTGAACTTGGGCAAGTGATTTATCTTGTCTGTAAGGACAATGACAGTGCTTCAGAGTATTTTTGGGATTAGCGGAGTCAATCGATGCATTTCACCACTGCAGTGAGCAAATGCTCATCAATGTATGCTTGATCAAGGTTAACTATTGTTTATTACGGTCATAAGTCACCTAACCTCTGAGCCTTAGTATTCTTGGCTACCAAATGGAGGTAATGATACTTCCTGAACAGAGCTGTTGGGAAGATAAAATGAGATAATGTGCCCAAGTCCTATCCTGGCACCTGGCTCCCCACATGTTCACTCCTTCCCCCTGCGATGCTCCCTCCCGTCAAATTTACGCTTCTAGCATAAATGGCACGCCAGTCTAAGAAAAGCACCACTTGTGAACTTGAGCGCTTATAGGCGCGAGCTGAGGAAGCATAAAGCGACTTCCCTCTCCCACCTGGTGAGAGAGCCTCCACGGGCTCTGGGGTAAAATGGTCGAGTGCTGAGTGGGTGTTCTTGGTGCTGGAGGGATCCTGCTAGACCCAGTTCCAGGATTCTCCATGGGGCCTGGAGGTGGATTCTCCAGGGGGGCCATTAGCTAACGGGGCAGAGGCAGCCAGTCCTGGCTGTCAGTCTCGGCAGGGCAGTTGGGGCACTTCCACAGGGAGATGTCTTTGGTTGGGTTGACCAGACGTAGAGCAGAATGTGCTGGGATACAGGGCAGGGACAACTTCCCCTGAAGACTGAGACAGACTTAAGATTCCTTCTCTCTGTCTTTTTTAAACAAACCACATTTTTTTTTTTGAGACAGAGTCTCACTCTGTCGCCCAAGCTGGGGTGCAATGGTGCAATCTCGGCTCGCTGTAACCTCCGCCTCCCGGGTTCAAGTGATCCTCCTACAACAGCTTCCTGAGTAGCCGGCATTACAGGCGCGCACCAGCACGCCCAGCTCATTTTTTTTTTTTTTTTTTTTTGAGACAGAGTCTTGTGTTTTGTCTTTTTTTAATAGAGTCTCACTTCATCACTCAGGCTGGAGTGCTGTGGCACAGTCTTGGCTCACTGCAACCTTCGCCTCCTGGGTTCAAGCAATTCTCCTGCCTCAGCCTCCCAAATAGGTGGGATTACAGGCACACACCACCACACCCAGATAATTTTTTTGTGTGTTATTAGTAGAGATGGGGTTTCACCATGTTGGCCAGGCTGGTCTCGAACTCCTGACCTCAGGTGATCCACCCACCTTGGCCTCCCAAAGTGCTGAGATTACAGTCAGGAGCCACCTTGCCAAGCCAATTTTTGTATTTTTAGCAGAGATGGGGTTTCACCATGTTGGCCAGGCTGGTCTTGAACTCTTGACCTCAGGTGATCTGCCTGCCGCTCTTGCACTCTTAGTCTCAAGCAGTCCTCCCATCTTAGCCTTCCAAAACACTGGAACTATAGGCATGAGCCAGTAGGTCTGGGCATTAAACAAGCCACAAATTAATGAGCACTTATTACGTTCCAGGCACTATGCCAAGCAGTTTACATGGATTCCAGCCACTACCGTCTGGGTAGCCAGCCTTAGGCAAATGCTAATGTCTCTAAGCCTCAGTCTCCTCCCTTGTGAAATGGGCTTTGGGATGGTGTCTACTTCATAGGGCTGTCGTGAAAAGTAAATGAGCGCATGCATTAGTGGTCTTACTAAATGCTAGCTGGATGTTGGTGTTCCATCTAGACATTCACCCGTTTGAGCCTCACAACAATCTTCACTTATTTGCATGAGAAAAAAATTCGGAGAGGTTAAATCAGTGGTTCCTAGGTGCTGACCTGACCACATACAAACGACATGGAGAGCATGAGAGAAACCAGGGTCCTTGCGGAGGATGGTTCCCTGAGTGAGCCTGGCAGGGGCCCCGATGATGCAGGTTTCTCAGGCCTGCAGCATCCCCCGTGATTTGGAAGTGGGGAGCCCTGCTGAGTTAGGTGATTTGGCAGAGGCCCCACTGCCGGTAGAGATAGAGGTGGGATTTGAATGTTCAGGCAGGACCCTAAATCACCATTATTTACTCTGAAGAGCATGCCCCTGGTGGGCCTGCCCTGACCTGCTCTCTGCCACTTCCTAGGGCTGGAGGATTCTGGCCTGGCCGAATCTCTGAGGAGGAGGGCTGGGTGGAGCTCTCATGAGCAGGTTCACTCAAGCAGCCATTTTCAGGTCACCTAGTCCCCATCATGGGTTCCTTTTCCAAAAGCCACCTGAGCCGAGGCAGTGGGTACCCATCAGCACTTGTGGATTGTGGGAGGTCTCACCGTTGGTCAGAAGACATCTCCCTTGCTGGCTCCCCACAGCTGTCCCCCCCAGGGCCTATCTCCACCCTGTGGTGCCACTGGGCATGGGGAGAGCCTCTGGCAAGCTGCAGGAGCTGCCAAAGCATTTGGTTATTTTGCTCACTTTATTAATAAATGTGCACCGACGCCAACCACATGGCAACTGCCGCCTGGGAACAGGAGTCGGAACATACTCTGGGGAGATTTCTGGCTGGATTTTGGTGATAGAGGAAACAGACAGGGATCTACAGGGAGAAGGGAGGCGGGCAGCTGGCAGACATCTGGGGGCATGCAAGGACCTCTGTAGTTTGTGAAAATCTTTTTGGGTAAAGGAGAGTTGAGTGGAACGAGATAGAAGGGGCCTGCAACCCTGACCCTTTAGCCAGAGGGACTCAGAGCCACATGGAGCCTGGACACCCAGCTTGGCCTGACTGCAGGCAGCTGGACACATCTTTCTCCCAGGGTCTGCTGGCCTCTGGGTGCCTGGTGAGGGCAGAGCTGATGGCAACAGTGCTGTACCTGCAAAGGACCTTTAAAACCCCAAAGCAAAAAGCAAGACCTTCCACCAGAGGGGCTGCAGGCCCAATGCAGATTCCGTGGAGGGAGCTGGCCATCACGTGTGCAGTGCTGGGCCAGGGGCCTGTAATACACACAAAGCTGGCATTATTTGCACCTTTCCGGGATGCTGTGAAGAGAAATTACCCAGGAGTGATGTGCCCTGTAAGGACACATTGGACAAGCGGGCCTTTGTGTGGAAGAAGCCAACAGGCAAACCTCTCAGGGGGCAAGCCCCAGGCCTCCAGGACTCCAGCCCCCTGTGCGGGTGCCAGAATGGCCTCCTCCTCCAGCCAGGATGTGTGTTCTATTCTATTACTGGCCAGCAAATAAATAATCTGCAAGCCTCGCCAGGATCTGCCGTTTACCCTTTAAGGGAATGAACTTCTGTTCATTTGGAAAGGGGGGAAAAAAAGCCTCCCGAGATGAAAGTCTGGGCCGAGGGAAGAGTGAGCTAGGCAGATGGCATGGATGCCAGCGGGAAGCCCTTACTGCCAGCAGGCCGGGCCCAGGGTCTGGCACCCCCTGTACAGTCAGCGTCAGCCACAGCAGCCCCAGTCCTGGGCTCCTCACATCTTAGCTTGGGCCTTTCTACTTAGTTTGCTCATGTCTTGAAAGCAGCAAAAAATGTCAATCACACATACTCGATCCAGCGATTCATTTATAAATAACAAGCAAGCACGACTATACTAACACGAGCATTGTCACACACACACAAAAATACAACTTTAAAAAATAAAAAAAGATAAAATGATATTTTAAAATGCCTTAATTACTGTGGATTTTTTTTAGCCACCTTTACTCACAAAGGAAAAAAATACAATTTAGCTAGCTTCATTAGTAATCATAGTAGATATAAATTCTTCTTTTTTTTTTTTTTTTTGAGATGGAGTCTCGCCTTGTTGCCCAGACTGGAGTACAGTGGTGCAATGTCAGCTGTTGGCTCACTGCAACCTCCAGCTCTTGGATTTAAGCAGTTCTCTGCCTCATCTTCCTAAGTAGCTGGGATTACAGGTGTGTGCCACCACACCCAGCTAATTTTTGTACTTTTAGTAGAGATGGGGATTCACCATCTTGGCCAGGCTGGTCTTGAACTCCTGACCTCAGTTGACCTTCACTTTGGCCTCCCAAAGTGCTGGGATTACAGGTGTGAGCCACCGTGCCTGGCCAAATTCTTATTTTAAATTGTCTTCTTATTCATAGTATAAACGTGGGGTCCACCTTCTTGTGGGCCCCAACTGGATTGTCACTGTTTTTTCCTTCTCTGTGGGCCACAAGGCACCCTGAGGAGTGAAGTGTCCACGCCACGCCATGCTTTTCTTCATCCAACACTGGAGTTAGGTTCAGCGTTTGTCACTTTTTTCTTTGTTCCTCCTTTGTCTGGCTTCTTTCTTAGTCATTTATCCATTTGCTAAATCTATGAATCTGTATAACTGGTCCCAGATGAATAAAAAAATTCTTCCAAATGCCAGCAGCGAGAGTGAGGGCAGAGTGGCTGGCCTCTCTGTGTGGTCCAGCTCCCATTCTTCCCTCCAGTGACATTTCATATAAAGACCTAATATGGACATCAGCGTCAATCTATAAATACTGGTAATGCTGAATTCTTTTCTCTTTTTTGGATGAAATAGAAACAAATAAAAAAATTAATATTCCTTTCTCCTCGGAGAAGTCCCTTAAACCCCTCCTGCAGTGCCTGTGCTGCCCCCACTTTGGAGACCCCTGTGTCTCCAGAGCTCACTGTCCCTCTCCCCTCCAAGCCAATCCAACTGCAAACAGAAACAGGAGCTTAGGAAAGCAGGAGCTCATTTCCTAAGCATGAGCTCAGGAAATTGTGGACCTGATCAAATCACTGCCCTTCACCTGCTCCCCATGTCTCTTGGGGAAAAGTAAAACTTCTAACCAGCTCTGGCCCACACTGCCCCTTCAGCATCACTCATGGCCCCCCATATGACGCACAGCAGGTTCCCATTCTCATCCTTCAGTTCCCAGCTACAAGGTCACCCCTCAGAGAGGGGCCTGGATTGGCCCCTCATCTAAAGAATATCACTCTCCCCCCATGACTGTCTCAGAACTTCCTCTATAGCTTTTAAAGCACCCATCACATGTTGTCACTATGTAAATCTGCTCGAGGACTCTGACTACTGTCTCCCAAACTAGGCAATGTGCTTGGGGTTCATCAGGGAGGATTCGTGTCTGCTGTATTCATTGCTGTATGCCCAGAGACCAATATGGTCCCTGGGATATTGTAGATACTCAATAATGAGATGAATGAATCAGATCTGACCTCTCAGATCTACAAAGCCCAGTTCTCTTGGACTAGGCTTGTCACAGCTGGAAGCTGCTAGCTATGGGGAAACTGATCTTCCACCTTCCTGGCCTCAGACCTCCCCAGCCTCCCTCCTCACACCAGGGAGCAGCTGGAAGCCCAGCTCCAAGAAACTCAGAGAAAGCCTGAAGTAGTTTTCCAGGAGTGGAAGAGGCTACTGAGAAAGAAGTGTCCACTTCATGCCTTGGAGAACTGAGAACTTGGAGTGTCAGGAGGGCAAGACGCACAGCAGGTCAGGGCACAAGCACGGCCTGGAATGCATGTGGGAAGCAGAAAAGTTCCTTTTTAAAGTTTCCCTTCTTGTTAAAGAGTAAGTGTGCTAATAACCTTGTTAAGCCCTATCCTATGTAGCTGTTAGACATGCCGTGCTTACAGGCACGTAGTACATTCTATGTCCTTGTACTTAAACCAAGATATCTGTGCTGGATGTGCTCACAGGCAGGTCCTAGCTCTCCATTGCTTTTACTGTTTAGAAAAGTTTTAAGTTGTCAGCCAATCGGGTTTTGTTTAGATTGTGAGGTCCGGCTCCAGCCAACGGAGATCAGACACAGCAGTAAGGACAACCCCAAAGGCATAAGGGATAAATTTGTGTGTTTTCCTTTGTTCATTGTACTCTTGTGGCAAGATGGCTAGTGAGGGTACCCTTCCTGCAGCCCAGGAAGCAAAAATTACGTTGCTGAAAGATCCTTTGTCTCAGTGCTGATTTTTCTTTGCAGCACCAAGCATCTGTTTCCAACATCTACTTCTAACAATGCAGGCGAAGGGCTGAGTAGGGGACACCCTTGGCTAAGTGGACTGAGGAATCTTGAGACATGAGTGGTTGTTGTGATTAGTGGATTCTGTCCCTGGGAGCCCCTGAGAGGGCAGGGGCTGGGGCCCAACCTCTCCCCTCTGACAACCAGACCTTATCCAAGCCCTCCCCATAGCCTGGCCAGGGGGGCACAGAGGCAGCTCAAAGGCTTTTCCCAGGCAAGAGGCCAAGTAAATACTGGATCAGGGATTCACACCTGCGTCTCTCCCCAAAAGGGGATGCCCTTGCTCTCCTCCTCCCATGTCCCCCTCAAAGTGTCTCCCTGAGGCCCCTTTGGCTCCGGCCCAGCAGCTGTGAGGTCCCTTACAGAGCTTATCACCCCGTGATTATCTCCAGCACAGGGGAGCAGGTGTCTGCAGGCGTGGCTCAGCTCCTGCCTCTGAAAGAAAAGGAAATCTGAGTCTCTGGGAAACCTTGGAGAGAAAGCAGAAAAAATACCTCCTTTCAAGAGAAGAACCCAAAGGGACCCTTGTTCCACCAGATTCCTTGACAGCTTCTCTGAAGCGAAGCTCTTTTTAATATATTTTTAAAGAAAGACGAAGCCCCGGAGAATGGCTGTGGGGGGCAGGTAGCAGTGGGTTCTAAAAGTCTTTCCCTGCTTGAATCTCCGTTACTGATTCTTTATCATGAAGGGATTGGCCTCGACAATCCCAAGTGGACGGTGTATGGGCCTTGAATTCTGGATGCTTAGGTTGGGAAGATGGATTGGAAGGCTTCCTGGAGGAGGTGAGGACTTGCTTTGGGTTTTGAAGGATCTGCAGCAGCTAAAGCAGGAGAGGGTTTCAGGCCAGAGGAAGAGCTTGGCAGAGACACAGAGGTGGAGAGGCCTGGCCAGGAGAGGGAGGCAGAGTGGAGGGGAGGGAGGAGGGAAAGGGGGACTGTCAGGAGGGAAGCTGGAGGAGGGGCAGGAGGAGCCTCAAATATGGTATCAGGATGTCTCGGTTCCAGTCCCAGCTCTGCCACTGACCTGGGGCGTGATGTGGAGCTAGAGCTCTGTGCATTCCCAGGCCTCAGTTTCTCCGTCAGAAAAAACTGGTGGGAAGCCAGGTGCTGTGGCTCTTGTCTGTAATCCCAGCACTTTTGGAGGCTGAGGCAGGCGGATCACCTGAGGTCAGGAATTTGAGTCCAGCTTAGCCAACATGGTGAAACCCCATCTCTACTGAAAATACAAAAATTAGCCGGGCATGGTGGCGGGCACCGGTAATCCCGGCTACTGAAGAGGCTGAGGCAGGAGAATCACTTGAACCCAGGAGGCAGAGGTTGCAGTGAGCTGAGATCACACCACTGCACTCCAGCCTGGGTGACAGAGTGAGACTCCATCTTAAAAAAAAAAAAAGAGAGAGAGAGAGACAGAGAGAAAGAAAATAAAAAGAAACCTTGGGGGAAGAGACTGGAAGTGGGTGCCCTCCCGCACCGGGTATCTCACTCCCCTTCTGGCTCTGGTGGAGGCTGCAGGTGCTGGGCGGCTTCCCAGCCTTGCCCCAGCAGCCTGCTGTGGGGACCTGCTAATCCCCCTTAAACCAGCTTCTTCCTGGCTGCTGTCACCAAGGGTGCCTTGTGAGGGCCTCCTCACTCAGGAAGAGAGGACTCTGTGACTTAGTGGGGGGTGAGCGGGGGTGGGGGGAAGGCCCAGCCTCTGTCGCCCCCTCATGCACCAGTGCCAGCGGCCCTCAGGCCATCTGTTCTTCAGGCTGGGTCCCAACAGAAAGGCCATTCAGTACCGGACGGTTGGTGTCTGCCCCCCTTCCCCAGCCCACGCCTGAGCAGATGGCCCACCTGCCACCCCTTCATGGAGTCTCCCGGACCTTGGGGCCTGGCCGGAAGCTGGGGTGGTGGGGTCCACCCTCCTCTTAGAGAATGTGTCAGCGCCAGACTTCAAGTCCTGGCCCTGCCTCACAGGGCCTCTGTCCTGGGCTGCCCTCTCTACCTCCTGCTGACCAGCCAGCTCCAGCCCAGGTCATTCAGAGAGACACCACAAAGGCTGCACCTGCAGATGCCACCCAGGTCCATCCTCTGGTCCCCTGATTTCACACAGGAGGCATCAGCCACGTGCCAGAGGTGGCAGCTCCTCAGAAGTACCGAAACCTCTGGCTTTTGGTGAGTTTTCACTGTGATGACATGAGATCACTTGAGTAGGCGGGAGGGGAGTGGTTAAAAATGCGGATCTCGGCCGGGCGCGGTGGCTCACGCCTGTAATACCAGCACTTTGGGAGGCCCAGGTGGGTGGATCATGAGGTCAAGAGATCGAGACCATCTTGGTCAACATGGTGAGACTCCGTCTCTACTAAAGATACAAAAAATTAGCTGAGCATAGTGGCTCGTGCCTGTAATCCCAGCTACTCGGGAGGCTGAGGCAGGAGAATTGCCTGAACCCAGGAGGCGGAGGTTGCGGTGAGCCGAGATCACGCCATTGCACTCCAGCCTGGGTAACAAGAGCCAAACTCCGTCTCAAAAAAAAAAAAAAAAAAAATGCGGATCTCTCGGCTCCAACACCATGGATTTGGACCCAAGAGGTCTAGGGAGGGGCCTGTGAATCTGCATGTGTAATACACTTTGCAGCCAAGTCCCTAAAGTTCTCCCAGGCACTGCCATCTGGCTGTCTCTGGTCATTTCTAGCCCGAATGACAATTAAAGGTCTGTGACACAGGTGAATAGTAACGATACCCATTCAGTAGGTGAAGAAATCGAGGCCCCAAAATGCCTACGGTTTCATAAAGTAAATTTGATGCTGTAAATTCATACCAGAGCTAGGCGTGGGACCCAAGACTTCAGGCTCCTTAGGTAACCGCTTTTGGACACCAGTCCCCAGGGGAAATCAGGGCTGGCCCTTAAACATGCCCTCCCTTTCTCCCCTGCACAGCTGCAGTACTGAAAGGCCCTAAGTCCTGAAGAGATCCTGATTTCTCCCCCATCCCCAACGAATCCTAAACAAAAATAACACTAAACTGTAACTGTAAGGAAATCCTATGATGACGACAGAACTTTAATGCATTTTGTAATAAAATTAAATTGTTTGAAGGAATTTTTTCTTATTTTATGGGTGGCCCTGGTTTTGCGGTGCCCAAGGCAGTATCCTAGCTTCCTAGGAGATAGCGCCTTGTCTGCCATGCCCATTCCAGTGTGGGGTCGGGGTGAGGGGCAGGTTGGTCCCTCCCACCCCTGGACACTGTCCCCTCCCCACCTCCTTTAATCCTACCTGGTTTCCTGCCCCAGGAGCCAGAATGCATTCACCAGGAGAGCCTGGCATTTCAAAGACGTGCGCTGGCCTGGCAGCCTCTTACTGAGGGGGATTTTACATGTATGCCTCCTGTATCCTTGATGATCTGGCTTCCCTTCCTGTGGGAGCTTCTTCCAGGGAAAGCCCAGGCTCCCTCCCCTCTAGAGAAGGGGTCCCTCTCTAACCCTCCTTAGAGAGGACAGAGGTTCGAGGGAAAGGAAGCCCACCCAGGGGTGCAGCTCAGAAGCCCCACTCCTGACTTAGGCCCCTCCATGTTAGACCCTGCTGGAGAATAGAGAAGCCTGGAGGGGCTGCAGGCCAAGAAAGCCCTGCTGTGTGTCCCTGAATAAGCCATTGAACCTCTCTGAACCTTACTAAGATAAAACAGTGCCTATGTTCCAGTCCTACCTTACAGGATTATTCCAGGAATGAAAGGCAATGGTGCACATGCACACGAGGCATTAGCACAGCGCTGGGCTCAAGGTGAGCAAGCCACACACTGTATCTATTGTTCCTATGAGCTAGGCTGACATCCTAAGAGGGAGCACTGGAGCAGGAGTCAAGGCACCTGCTTTCTAATTTGGGCTCTGCCACTAATAAGCTGATGACTTTGAGCAATTCCCAAAGCCCTTCAGGCCTCAGTTTCTTCATCTGTAAAATGAGAGTGTAGGACCAAATGAGGTCTCTAGTCCCTTCCAGAGCTGACTTTCTATCACTCCACTTCGCATAGCTCTCATTCACCCATTCATGCGTCCCAGTTCGGTTAAACGTCACCATCTCTAGAAACCTTTCCCAGAGCCCCTCGAAGCTGTGAGTCTCTCTGCACCCGCCTGGCACCACATTTCTCCCATGGGTCCCGTGGTAGGAAGAATGTGAACCCTGATGACTCCCAAGCCAACTCTGAAGACCACCTTAACCTCTGATTTCCAGCCCCAGGGAAAATCAGGAGACTAACCATCAGTTTCTTTGGGCTAATAATATCCTTCCATTTTACAGATGGAGACACTGAGGTCCTGGATATTAAAAAACAAACCCTTATGACACGCTCAGGGAGCCTGGGAGTCCCAGAGCCTCAATCTGATTTTCTGCAGTGACTCAGGGTTTAGACAATCATTACAGCAGCGATTACTCCTTAAATCGGTTATTTTTCACTGTTGAAGCTACTGTGTGGGCCTTTTTTTTTCTTTTCAGTTTGGATTCACCAGGCTGGGGGAGGGGGGACTGAGTATGTGGCAAAACAGAAGGAAGACAAAAAAAGGAGGTGGGAAAGCCAGGCCGGCCGGCTGCAACCGGAGGCCCAGGAGTCTTTGAGATTTCTCACCGTGGGAGTTAGTGGGCTGCCCTGGATCCCTGTGGAGGCGGCAGAGAGGGAAGTAGGAGTGGGGGCAGGGAGGCAACAGTAGCCGGTGGAGCGTCATTCAGAGGTTAGCTGTAGCCACCGGCAGTTCTGACCAGCTTCTTAGACTCCTGGGATCAGTGCCTGGGCTGAGGGTGCTGTGTGTGAGGCTGGGGTGGGGCAGCTGAGCCACCTTCACTCGGACTATCTCCCCTCCACCCTCTCCCCTCCACCTTTTCTCCTCCCACACCATTCAGACACCTGCTGTGTGGTTGGCACTGAACTAGGCACAAAGGCATGGCAGGAAACAAGATAGAGTCCTGCCCTCGAGTAGCCCTGGGCACCTGGAACCAAGCTGTCAAATTCACTACAGGGCTGGAGGGAGCTACTGGGGTCAGCTTGGGGGAGTTTCTGGGGCCCAGGGATGTGGCCTGCGCCAACTTTGGTATGAGGCATGGGGGAGGGGGCAATGGGGGAGGGTAGGTACAGAAAAGTTGCCAGAGAAAATTTTGTTTTTTGAGTCTCGCTCTGTTGCCCAGGCTGGAGTGCAGTGGCATGATCTCAGCTCACTGCAACCTCTGCCTCCCAGGTTCAAGTGATTCTCTCGCCACAGCCTCCCAAGTAGCTGGGACTACAGGCACGTGCCACCATGCCCAGCTAATTTTCGTATTTTTCATAGAGATGGGGTTTCACCATGTTGGCCAGGCTGGTCAAACTCCTAACCTCAAGTGATCCTCCTGCTTCCGCCTCCCAAAGTGCTGGGATTACAGGCATGAGCCACAGCGCCCTGCTGGGAAACATTTAAGCTGAGATAAGAGAAGCATGGTCAAGAGCTGGCAGATGAAGACTAGGGTGTGATGGGTGAGAAAGGTCAAGCCGAAGGAATAGCTGGGACAAAGGCAAGGTCCTAGCCCAGGACAGAGCCAGACACAAGGGGGGAGCTGGGACTAGCAACTGCTCAGGTGTTGGTCTCTTGCACTAGATTATGAGCTTCTCTGATTCATAACTGGTGTTGCACTCATCACTCATTTTGTGGATGTATCTATGTCTGTATGCATGTATTCATTCCTTCATTTGTTTGAGCTGGAATAATTTAAAGCTCATTATGAATCTTGCAGGATGAAGTTGTAGCTCTATGATGGACTGTCCCCTTGGACTGCCATGACCTGCTGCCCAGGCTGTGCACTGCACCACTCCATCTGCCATAGGTCTAACAGCCTGTAGCCTTGCTCTACATTGTCACTGATAAGTAGTCATTATTCTCTCCCTGTCTGCATCTATAGTCCTCATTTTCAGTTGTGTACATGGAGAAAAGGGAGGAGTCCTTCTCATGGCCTTGGAGAGACCCACAGGAGCTTTCCCTATCTCAGTATCCCCACTGACACCTACTTTCTCGGTAGGCCTAGATGGCTGACCTGAGAGCTCCGGGGCCAGACGCCCTTCCTCACTCCAGGAACTTGGAGCTGCCAGGCAGAGTGGGCTTCTGTTTACCGCCTTGGGCTAAAGACGTATGTCAGCAATTGGCGAAGCACAGGGAAGTTGCAGCTCAACTCGCTAGACTGGCAAATGCATGCTGCGCCCTCCTCTCACTATAAGGATATAAAACGACCATTTCTTTATACTCAGAAACCAGAACACTTCCCTCTGCCGGGTCCTCCTGCCTCCCCCTGCTCAGCCCCAAGGGGCTCCCAGAATGCCCTGGGGCCTATGGCAATGGGGAAAGAACTGAAGGGGAAACGGAGAGCCACCCTGGGACAGTGGAGGGCAGAAGCATTATTAAGTACCTGCTGTATGCTGGCCCTTAACTGTTTTTTCATCTAATTATCAAAATAGCCCTGGGAAAGGAAGTCAGAAGCGCAGGGGACAGAAGGAGCATGGTTCGAATCCCGGCTCTGTCCCTCATCAGCTGGAGACTTGGGAGAGTTACTCGTCTATAAAATGGAGATAATAACAGTAACTACGTCCACAGGGCTGGTGTGCAGAGGCCATGAAGCCATCCACTGCAGGTACTTGGCACAGTGCCCAGCATATAGTAAATGTTCAATAAACACTCATTAGCGTCATGAGATCGAGGTTGCTGTGAGCCCTGTTGAACAATGGAGAAACAGAGGCCTAGGGAGGCTGTAGAAGTTACTGGAGGCCACACAGCCTAGGAGTTGGTACAGCCAGAGGTGAGTGTGTAGAGGTTTGAAGGCAGGGTCTGAAGACTGTCACTATGCATTAAATCCACCTGAGGGTTCAAACCTTCACCTCAAATTCACCCAGTGCTGTGTGCCTGGCCTTGCACTGAGGGGTGGGATGGAGTGGCTGAGTGAAGAAGATGTGTTAGAGTCGGAGTCACCATCCCAGAGCACGTGGTGGCCTGATGGCAGCAGACAGGTGACGGTGGTTCCCATGAAGCAGTGTGGCAGGTGCTGGCATCGGCTGCTCCCAGAGCCAGAGAGGTTGCCTCCAAGGCTTCCTAGGATGTGTGGGAGATGGGAGTGTGGGTCGGGGGAGACTGGGAAGTACTTCTCAGAAATGCCTGGCAGAGGGCTCAGCCTTTGCAAAGGCCAGAAGGGTTAAAGCGCCAGAGCATTTGGAGAAACTGAGGCAAAACCTGATCCATGGTGGTTTTATAAACCCCTTGTGGCAACCAAGGGAAAAAGAAAAATGTGGGCTTTGGAGCTGACACATTTGGGGATTCAAAACCCTGGTCTATGAAGCCAGTCCTTTCTGGGCTTCAGTTCTCCATTCAAAAAAAAATGGACCCCGCTCACAGAGGTTGCCGTGAGTTTGCTATGCACACAGAAGTGGCGCAAAAAGTTGGTCATTTCTCTCTTTCTCTCCCCCAAACTAGGGTGAGAGTGGGGCAAGGACGAGCGGTGGCGAGGTGGGGAGGAGAGACCCTGGTTCAGCCTTGGGGTCCTCTGGGACTGCCGATCTGCCTCCCGGACTCCGTTCTCCAGGCGGAGGGCTGGACCCTGCCGTGCCGCTGTTAATTCGCCTCCGGGCCGCTGGCCGGTGAGTGGGAGGAGGAGAGCGCCGGGTGAAGCGGGGTGAGGACTCTCCAGCAAGTGCTCCCTCCATCTGCCGTCAGCCCAGAGTCCCAGAGCCCCGGATCGCAGCCTCCCTGCTGGCCGAGCCCCCAACACCCGCGGCGCGCCCCTCAGAGCAATTACGTAACGAAGCCTCCGGTGCGCCGCGGAGAGGCCGCCTTTGTTATTGCGATCCTCCTCGGCAGCGGCCCCGCGAGTATTAATAAACCGATCACTCAAAACGCCAGCCTGGGCTTTATTTACGTAGATTTGGGTTGGGGCGCCTCCGAGGGAATTATCCCCGCGGCCCGCCCGTCCCCCAGGAGGGAGAGAGGTGGAATCCCTTCCCTCCCCTCCCCTCTGGTCTTTCACCTTCCCTTCAGCTCAGAGGCCCTCCCCCACCCACCTTGCTGAGCAGCCTGGTCCCAGCAGTGCAAACAAGAATATTCCTGAACCAAAAAGTGTGGGTTCCAGGCCCATCTTCACTTCCCTAGTGGGTGATATCTGGCAAATGGAAACTCATTAGCCTTACCTGCAAAATGAGTGGAATAGCAAAGTGCCCATTTAAATGAGATAATCTAGGAATCTGCTTTGCAAATTCTAAAGCAATGGTTCTCAAACTTCGGCTTGTCTCAGAATCACGTGGGGGGCTTTTCGGACCACGATTGCTGCCCTTGCAACTTCCTTCCCCAGAGTTTCGTTGTCTGAGGTGGAACTGAGAATTTAGGTTTCTACCATTTTTCTGCCCCCAAGAAGGCTTTGAGACTTCACACTCTAAAGCTATTTATAAACTAGAATCTATTTGGCAGATGTTCCTGTGGGTCTGCGGGTGACACCATCCCCAAACTTTGTGACTTCATTGGGGCAGGGGTAGGCCAGGAGCAGCAGGCCTTACAGGGGATCAGCAATGCCTGCCCTGGCCAGTGACGCAACCAGAACCATCTGAGCTCCGGGTCAGACTGCCAGGGTTCGGGTCCCACCTCCCTGCTTTCTAGGGTGTGATCTTGGGTAAGTTATGTAACTCAGTGGGCCTCCATTTTGCCATCTTTAAAATGGGGCTGGTAATGATACCAACCTCATGATGTTTGTTAAGATAAATGACACGTAAGGACCTAGACCAGCATCTGGCACATAGCACAGGCTCAGAATACTCTTTCTGAAATAATGATAAAGCCCCCTGGGGTTTTATCATTGGGCAGGAGGCAAGTGAAGTGGCAGCCATTGCCCTAGCCGGCTGCCCAGGATGCAATACTATGATCCCACGGCACAGACCAGCTGCTCTGGGCACTCATTGTGAAGGAGTCCTGGGGGTCGCCCAATATGAGGGTCCAAAATCTGCTACCCTCCTTGCAAAGCAATTCTTTTCCTGGCCAGGGCTCAGCACTCAGAAAATCTGGACCCAGCCTGAGGTTCTAATGTCAGCTACGCCCATAAGGGATAGTCCATACCCCATTGGCCCTGAGCTTTGGAAGCTGTCCTTTCAGTACCAGCACAGAGCAACAGATGTCCAGGTGTCCCAGGCCTCGGATACAAGGTCCACAGACACCTCCCCAATTCTCCCAGCTAGCGGAGGGTGGATTTCTTGCAGACAGCCACATGTGCCCAGCTCACCGCCATTTCCATGTGTCCATTCATTCACTGAGTGAGTGAACATTTGAGTGCTGACTGTCTGCCATCCCTGAGCTCAGGTACATGCACTGTCTCACTTAATACCCCAGGAACCCTATGTATCATGATTTTCCTCTTTCCATTTGACAGAGGAACACGCTGAAGCTCAGAGATGCTGAGTAACTTGCCTAAGGCCACAGAGCTGGTTAGAAGAGGACTAGGACCTTGAACCTAAATCCCAGATGGGTCTTGTTGCTAAATCCCGCTCTCACCTTCCTCCTTGAGCCCTCCCCCACAGGAAGCAGGAAAGCGCTGGCCATGGTCTTCTAGTCCCCTAGCTATCACACTCTTTCTTTGGGGAGATCTGAGCCTCATTGCTTCCACCCCCATCCTGATCAGTTGTCTCTCCCACAGATAAGAAATTGCTTGACATTTCCTGGTCCTGGAGCAGCAACAGAGGTGGTGGGGATGAGTCACACAGGAGGGAAGCTGCCGGCAGGAGAGTGGGGTGGAGGGAGGAGGGCTGGTCAGTGCTCAAGCTGGAGGGGTGGGGGCGAGAAGCGTTTGGGAGGCTTGCCTGGGGGTTCCTGAGCTCCCAGCTGCTCCTTTCAGTCCCCAGCGCTGTGCGTAACAGAGTTCTCCTCCCCAGGCAGGTTTACAGACAAGGAAGCTCTGGAGGAAATGAGAGGAAACCAGGAGGGGAACCAGAAGCAGCTGTGAAAGCCCAGCTGTCTGCCTTCGTCCTTGTGACATGAGACAGAGGCTCCTCCTCTCTGGGCCAAAATGGTGCTCCTTGTGGCAGCTTCCATGAACCCTGGCTAGACAGCTCTCACCCCAGAGCTCTGCTTTCCAGTTGAGAATGCACCAGCACTGCTGAGTCCTCTCCCTCCCCTCCTCCCAGGCTGCCTCGTCATAACACCAGCAGCAACAACCGATAACTGAAGACCTGCCTGCCCCGTGTTGAGGCTTCAGGTGCAGCCTCTCTGCTAAACTTCCAATAACTCCCATGAGGTAGGCCCTGCCATTAGCTCCATTTTACAGATGAGCAAACTGAGGCCTGGAGAAGTAAAATCACTGGCCCATGGTCCCATAACCAGGACTCGAACCCAGATCTGCTTCAGGGAAAGTGGAGGCAGGGAGTTTTGGATAGAGTCTGCTGCTTTCCCCCGGCCCCCCTCCAAGCACTTTGCCTGTTACCCCGAGCAGTTACTGTTGCTGCTATTGACTATCTGGAGTCATCTACCAGGAGGCTGTGACCTCTCCAAGGACAGGAACAGTGTCCTGTTCAATCCAGGCTCAACAACAACAGGCTTCTGACAACACCATGTTAAACGCTCTCATCACTGCTGAAACCTCTTCCCACTACCCTCCCCCCCCCCCCGCCCCTGCCCCAGCCTCAAAGATGAAGCCCAACCCCCACTCCGCAGGCCTTGCTCCTGCAGCCCCAGGTGCTAACAGTAGTCTCACTCCAAGCATCTTTGAAATCTAATTACATCCTCATTCTTCTTCGTATATGAGTGATTTCTGGCTACAGACACTGGCAACCCTTGTGCCCAGCCCACCTTCCTGCACCCACCTGCACAAACACAGACACACAGGCACACTCGTACCTGCTCACTCACACCTGGCCACCAAGGAGGTGCTGCTGTCCCAGCTTGTGGAGGGCAACCAGGGCAGCTGGAGCCCCTGCTGCTCCCAGGCTCCTGTGTGAGTCTCGAGGGAGTGACCCTCCCACCCCTGCAACAGCTGCTGGCTGCCTCCTGGCTCCATCCCCACCCTACTCCGGTCCCCACTCCCCCGGACTTTGAGAGGAACACTTCACCAAGAATCATGATAGTAATGCTTGTAATAGGAATCAGCATTTCCAATTTGCAAACCTTGCTCCTCGAATCACCTGACTTGACTCTCACAAGTTCTGCAAGGCAGATATTTTTATACCTGTGCAGGAGAGGGTCGTATGGCTATTTAGGAACAAAGCCAGGGTCCCAGCTGACGTATCTCACCCTCGCTGTGAATAATGATGACTCCTCGTTGTTACGGTGCACCTACTCCTGCCTGGCGTTAGGGGCACACTCAGTGAATGTCAGTGTTCATCCTCACAGCAGCACAGCGAGGTGCGTTTTTTGATGCCCAGTGTAAAGATCAGGTAACTCAGAAGAGTTGAGGGCAGAATGGCTGCCTAAGGAACGTGTCTGAACTGGACACATCACTTTAAGAAAAGTAGGCAGGAAGGAAGACAATAAGATCCTCTAATGTGCGCTTTAGGGAGAGCAGAGGCAGGGGGTTATGGTTAGAGTCTGCTTCTCCCCTGGTCCCCCTCCAAACACTTGGCCTGTTATCCTGAGTGATTACTGTTGCTGCTATTGACCATCCGCCAGGAGGCTGTGAACTCTCCAAGGAGAGGGACAGTGTCCTGTTCACCCCTGGGGTCCCAGCACAGAGCACCTTGGCTGGCATATGGGATAGGCACAGTCCAGATGGCCTCCTTCACGAAGGATGGTGGGGCAGCCTTGCCCTCAGCCTTGGCAGCCTGAGCTCCCAGCCTCCCCAGTTTCCCCACTGATAAGCTTGTGAGACTGAGAGAATACAGAAGCCCAGAGGGCAAAGGTTATCCACTCCAAATACCACCTAAGGTGGGAATTCTCCCTGTGGTGTCCTCATCAACCCTTCCCTGGATTCTGCTTGCATGCTGCTGGTGACGGGGCACTCATTCACGACAACTAAGGCAGCCTCTTCCATGTTAGAGAACTTGGAGTGATTGTGACAAAGCCCCCCCACCCCCGCACCCACCGCTGATGTACGATCAGGCTCTCTGGGAATACAAGCACAGACCCTGCTTCTAGTCTTTAGGGTTACACCAAGCAGAGCATCAGCAGGTGTCCCCATGTCTGGGAGGACACTGCACTTGAGTGATGCTGGGGGTCCTCCCTTCAGCCACCCAGAGCCCTGAGTGCCTGAAAGGCAGAAGAGGGAGTGACAAATGGATTCATGGATTCATCAGCCTGGCTTGGCCCAGCTCTGTGAAGGCAGTGAGCTGAGCCTGATGTGCAGAAATTACTACAGAGTCTTGAGTCAGATGGCCCCACCCAACACACCTTAAAAATCATCCCAATCTAGAGTCACATACTTGGATTGATTGATTCACTCATTCATGATTGGTTTTCACTGTCTAGGTGTTTGGCCAGGGGCAGTGTCGGTGGCACTGGGGCATCAGAGTTACCTACTTGGTAATCAGACAGCTAACAGTCACTGAGCACTCACTAGGAGCCAAGGACTGTTCTGTTTACTTCCTTGCCAAGGGCACAGCCTCTCCTGCCCAATTCTCGCTCTGGTGAGGACCGTGGGAGCCTGCTTGGCACACAGTCCATGCTCAATAAACATGAGCAGCTGCTATTAACTCTAAATCTCTACAGCAACTACAGGCGGTTCCTACTATTGGTTGCTCTAAGTGACTTACTTTGTCCAAGGCCACACAGCCAGTAAGAGGCAGGGCCAGGATTTGAACCTAGGTGATCTGGTTCCAGGCCTGCTCTATTAACCCTTAAGGAACTGATGCAGAGAGAACTGAGACCTGGAGTCAGAATGCCCACCTAGCTAGATGCTTGGGGCAGCCACTCACCTCTTTCTGTCCTATTTACTTGTGAAGTGGAGCATGTCATCAGCCTTGCCTTCCTCTTCCCGCATGCAGCCTCCATCCCATTTCCTGACCCACCATGACCATCAGAGCAGATGTAAGAGATCCAGGCATTTCTCTAAGGAGAGCATAGTATACTGGGGGTTGGGGTGGGAGAGAGTACATTATTTTCCCACCATAAGGAGCTGAAGGAGCCTGGAGTTT